GGGGGGCGGGGCTGTGGGTGGGATCCGAACCCTCGGCGGGAGTGCCGCCACGCTTCCCAAGCGGCGCACTGTAGCAGTGCGCCACCGGGCCGGCCCTAATTTTTTATTTTTTCCCTAAACTTTTACTCTCTCAAATAGCTTTAAAGTCTTTCAAAAGTATGTGGAAGGCTATTACTGTGCTAAATCATTCTCCAACTTCCTTCAAATTCTGCAGCCTCCCATCTAATTAGGAAAGCCTAGGTAAGAGTTGGCCAGCCCTCTTTGCCCTGACTGAAGCTCAGCCAGATGTCCAACCACAGATTCTTGGTTGCACAGAGCATTTCAAAAAGATCTTTCATATGTCTCTGAGATGCTCCTGTCAAGATCTGCTAAGGAAGACACCTTCTAAATTTTGCCTACAGCAGAAACATAAAATATACTAGCTCTTTCTTGCAACCTCCTATGATCTGAGTTCTCATAAGGATCTGTGTAGCATCTTAGCACCTAGATTTGCTACAATATTCATTTAATCTTTTTTGGGAGAGAAACAGTCACTGTCACATGGAAACCCTTGTTTGGGGGGAGGGGCACGCCCACTCACCAATGGTACAGATGATGCCAGTGTTCCGGGCCGTGATGGGTGGCGAGTCAATGTCCAGGCGGCACATGTGCTCCAGGAATGTGTCAGCCATGGCTGCATGCAGCTGCTGAGTCTGAATGAAAGCCGTCCCAGCTTCACAATGGTGCTTTGACATGGTTTCTGAGGTCCTGGGTCCAGGGGAATTGAAAAAGTGAGTGATCAGACTGAGAAGTGGTTAATATACCACTTGACACAGGAGGCTATCTCCTGCTTACACATTAACTCAATAAGCACGCTTTGTGCACAAGCCACAGGGAATCCAGACATGCCCTGGTTATGTGGGTGCTCCTCATATTGGGCAAAGAGTTCACATGATTGCAAGCAAACAGAAAGGACCTTTATGAACAAGTTAAAACCTCCCATCCAATGCACAAACTTCCCATACACCTACTGTAAGCAGGTCTCTCTTACACTAGGGTGACATCTACCTGGACAGCTTTCCCACCAACCCTATAAATAACATCACTTTACATGCACTGAAGGAGCTTCCACAAAAGGAAGTTGTAACCAATCTTCCAGTCCAAGCTTACTAGCTTGGTAAGTCTAGATCTTTGTATGCCAAGTTGTCTCGAAGCTATAAATATCTGCATTGTCATGGGGCACCCACATTGCCTCTTTACAATCCTTACCCAAACCCAAAGTGATGCTGGTCAAACAGGATTACATTTGTCTTTGCTAGAGGATTTAAAGCTGTTTGTAGGGCGCAGTAGGGGTTAATGTGGGATAGAACTATTGACATGATGGAGGA